AGAAATTGACCCTGTGGGTTGATAACCAAGACAGAGCTGAGAGATCTGCAATGATTCTGTGCTGAGATATGATGGTAGTGCAGGGGAATGGGGAAAATTACATAAAAGGAGGTCAGTAACTAAACCAGGATTGAGAAATGAGTGTGGTTCCCAGAAGTAAGGCCACAGAGAATTAAATGTCAAAGTCTGAAAGATATATGGGGTGTTACAGACTGAACTGTGTCTCTCCAAAATTCATATGTTGACACCCTAACACCCAGTGTAACTAGATCTGGAAATAGAGCCTTTAAACAGGTAACTAAGGTTGAACAAGGTCATAAGTGTGGGGCACTAATGTGCTTATAAGGTCTAGTGTCCTTATAAGAAGAGAGAGAGACACCAGGAGTACATGAGTGCAGGAAAAAAGGCCAGATGAAGACACAGTGAAAAGACAGTCATCTCCAGCTAAGGAGAAAAGGCTCAGGAGAAACCAATCCAGACAGCACCTTGGTCTTGGACTTCTAGCCTCTGCAGAGCTGGGAGAAAATTAGTTCTGTTATGCAAACCACCCAGTCTGTGGTACTTTGTTATGGTAGCCCTAGAAAACTACCACATGGCGTAAGCAAGGCGAAGGGTCCTACAGGCCAGGTCCTGGCCAAGAGAATTGTCAACACTCTGTTGTCACTGCAGCTTCCCTTCAGCCATACTCACTTCCTAACTTGGGCTCTCCACTATGTGAAATAAAATTCATATTTTATGGCAAGACAAGAAAAAGTTAAACATAAAAGTTCTTCTCTGCTCTTTGGCCTCCCCCTCCCCTCACTGTGCATTGTGTATCTGCATTACGCATCAATCAGACCTCCCCATCGGCAGGAACACCTGCTCAACCATTAAGAGCAGCATTCTCCTAGTACCAACAAGACAACCCCTTAAAAAAATCATAAAGCTTTTTGATCTTGTACAGGGTCACATGACCTACCACAATGACCCTTAGATCTGGATCATGTAAACTGTCAATAATACATCATTTCTGACAAAGTGTTCAACTCCAAAATTTACAAGCAGCTCATGCAGTTCAACATCAAAAAAACAAACAACCCAATCCAAAAATGGGCAGAACACCTAAATAGACATTTCTCCAAAGAAGATGTACAGATTGCCAACAAACACATGAAAGGATGCTCAACATCACTAATCATTAGAGAAATGCAAATCAAAACTACAATGAGGTATCACCTCATACCGGTCAGAATGGCCATCATCAAAATATCTACAAACAGTAAATGCTGGAGAGGGTGTGGAGAAAAGGGAACCCTCTTGCACTATTGGTGGGAATGTAAATTGATACAGCCATTATGCAGAACAGTATGGAGGTTCCTTAAGAAACTAAAAATAGAACTACCATATGACCCAGCAATCCCACTACTAGGTATATGCCCTGAGAAAGCCATAATTCAAAAAGAGTCATGTACCACAATGTTCATTGCAGCTCTATTTACAATAGCCAGGACATGGAAGCAACCTAAGTGTCCATAGGCAGATGAATGGATAAAGAAGATGTGGCACATATACACAATGGAATATTACTCAGCTATAAAAAGAAACGAAATTGAGTTATTTGTAGTGAGGTGGATGGACCCAGAGTCTGTCATACAGAGTGAAGTAAGTCAGAAAGAGAAAAGCAAATACCGTATGCTAACACATATATACGGAATCTAAAAAAAAAGAAAAGGGTTCTGAAGAACCTAGGGGCAAGACAGGAATAAAGATGCAGACCTAGAGAATGGACCTGAGGACACGGGGAGGGGGAAGGGTAAGCTGGGACGAAGTGAGAGAGTGGCATGGACGTATATACACTACCAAATGTAAAATAGATAGCTAGTGGGAAGCAGCTGCATAGCACAGGGAGATCAGTTCAGTGCTTTGTGACCACCTAGAGGGGTGGGATAGGGAGGGTGGGAGGGAGACGCAAGAGGGAGGAGATATGGGGATATATGTATATGTATATCTGATTCACTTTGTTATAAAGCAGAAACTAACACACCATTGTAAAGCAATTATACTCCAATAAAGATGTTAAAAAAAATACATCATTTGATGTGCAGCCCTCTGTCTCAAAAAAACTTATATAACTGTATCTTAAAGTCTAATGGGTGGAACAGTTCTCAGAGCTTTCTGAGATGCTCTTCCTGGGCTATAATCCTCAAATTTGGCTCGAATAAAATTTTCCACTTCTTTCTGAAATCAACTGATTAATTTTTCATCGACAACTACTCCAAGGGAATCGTGCCCCCTTTTGACAATAAGTATATTCTTGTCTCTTAGACTCCTTATAGGCAGGAGCTATGATATTTCTCTCCTATCACCCAGAGATTTGTGCTATGTATAACAAGAAGGCTCATTTGATGCTTAAGAACTGATGAATGTGTTCTCTGGTCCTGCACCTGAATCAGAGGTTCTTACCTATGGACCCCCTGGGGTAGGGGCGTGGAGGGCAGTTCATGGATGAACTTTAGGAGCTTGCCCACAGCTTTCATCAGACTCTCAAAGGAAATCTGTGCCTTAAAATGTTGAAAACACACTTCAGCTTTGATACTGACTTTTGTTAGACCCTTCTGACCAAAGCTGCTGTTATCTGGGTCAGTTCATATGCAGGAATGTAACAATCTTTTTTTATCAAAGTTCTCTCATCACATTTAGATATCGGATAAGTTTCTAACTGTATTCCACAGCTCCATCTGTTAAGTGGGTATTGGTGTAGGTTTATTGTCCTCAGCTTCATGAGCTGTAAACGATTTTAGAAATGACAGCTTCAGAAACAATAAAAGTTTGGATATCTGCCCATAAACATTCCCAAAATAAAGTCATACTTAAAAGACATTGCGGATTCAAGGTCCCTTTACTAACACACACACACACACACACACACACACACACACACACACTTTTCTCTATTACCTAGTTACAAGAAATACAGTGGATCCTTTTAACCATGTTATAGATTAATAAGACCTAGAGCAAACATCCTGTATAACCGAGAGTTAAAATTCTCAAGCTTTGCCACCTACAAAGGAACTCTCAAAGTACATATTCACATTTGAGAGGTAAATCCAGATTGCTCTAACCAAGTTAATTTTTTTTTTTGTTAGCATAGATTTCCGAAAGAAATTTTTTTTTGCAAAGACATAAAATATCAATTTTAGTATTAGAGAAAATACTTCGGTTGGTCAAATCGTTTCCCCACAGCCCTCTAGCTAAAACTTTCTCTACATTTTCATTGAATTGCTGTAGTCCCCTGAAGCCAATTTCACGAAGCTATGTCAAGTAAATGGGGAATGTTGTTAGAAGAAGTTAGCATTTTGAGTTCCAGAGAAAACCGCCTTTAGCCAAGCCCAGGCAAAATCAGCAGAAGTGCTTGTCCTACATATCCAGCAATAGTCCCACCACACCTGTGGCCCTCGGGAGCCACTGGAGAAATGGTGCCTGTGTCTCCCACACTTCTCAGACCATGTGCACAGAAGCAGAGGGCCATCAGAGTCGAACACAGCCCACTCCTTTGATCCTTCTCTGAGGGGACTGATCACATCCTAGACCTGGGCTAAGGAAAAACATCCCATTGTCTGAGGCCACAGGACACCACGTCATTTCATCCTGTGCCTGGGAAGGCGGCTTGGAACAAGTAATCCTGATTCTAGAGATGTTGAGACGATCCCAGCTGCACTGTGACTTGTTTTCGGTTCCTAGGCAAATTGCCCAGTTTCCTCCGCTCCCAAATTTCCCCAACTGCAAAACTGAGATAATTCTTGCTACCTTTCTCTTGTGGTGTTCTGAAAAATAAATAGGGCAAATGTTTCTAAAGTGCTTAAGGACAACTGACTGAGGGCATATTTGCCTAGAACTAGAGGTGGGGTTTTTTTCTTTATTTTTGTTAATGTCGTTTTGCTTTTGGCCTGACTTTGGCATAAATGTAGAAAAATCTAAGTTAAATTAAATTTTAACCATTTATCTAAGGTTAATGGAGCATTTACAGTATGTAAAGCACTGTGCTAGGCACATAGAGAGGACAGAGGGGGCACGTCCCCACCCTCAGGGGGCTCACGGCTCCCTCAGAAGGAGGTGTTACAGCCTAGAAGTTGAGTAACACAGGCGCAGCAGTCAGCCACCACCTACGAGCCAGAGACCCTGGAAAAATCACTCAGGTTCACCAAGCTCTGGTTTCTTCATGCAAATCATAATCACTAACATTTGAGTGTCTGCAGGGCGGCAGGAGGTGTTTACCTACTTAAAACACAGGACAGCCACCTGAGGTAGATACTCATATCATCCCCTTATTTGTATCCGTGTCTTATAGATAAGAATTCTGAAGCTTAGAGACATTACCTAACTCGTCCCAGGTCATATCCAGTTAGGAGCCAAGATGCAAACCCAAGCTGTGTGGCCTCAAACATGGAGACTTTCCCACTAAACCACACTATCATCAAATGGGTGTAATACTCACTTCATGTAGACTTGTGAGGGTCAACTGAAATGGATGCACTAAAAAACCGTTAGCCAGTGTCTGACGTAATAAATGTGCAATAAATGTAGACGTAGCTGTGGAAGAGGTTAGATACATACATAAATAACCAGAAGGCCAAGTCTATTTCATGGCAAAACTCCTTCTTCCAGACCAATCATCATACAGAAGGTTGTGGTAGGGAGCTGTGTAGGGGGAAGAATAGTCTATGAACTGTAACGTTCCTGAACCGGCTTATGAATGAGCTACACTATGAAGGAGGAATGCTTCACATATATGTACATTTCTGAAGGTCACTTAAAGAAAGGTTGAAGTATCTGCAGTACCCTACTGTTACCAAATTCAGGCATATTCGTGAGAACAATTTTTGCAGAAGCAATGTAGAAATGCATCTGCTGCAATTATTCTTACCCCTTCCTTAAGCCCCACCCCACCGATTTCCTTTAGGAAGAAACCACAGCATGGAGTTTCTTTTCAGTCTTAAAATAAAAATTCCCCCAAAAGGGATCCCGCTTGTAAAATCTTTTAGAGTTGTTTGAAAAAGACAAGAAAAAGGCATACGGAGCCAAGTGCTTATATTCTGGCCAAGTTACGAGCCTCTGAGAACAAGAGCTTGAGGGGAGAACTGTTAACCCGTTCTCTCCGGCAGAATGAGCTCTCTCCCTGTAGGTCTGCGCTGCCTGTAAAGCTGAGCGCGCCCTCGCCCTTGGAGTGAGAGGCTAGCCCGCTGGAGAACTGCAGGAATCTGCAACAAAAACGATGACAGTCTGAAATACGTCCCTGTGCCAACCTCCAAATTCGGCTGTCACCTCAGACCCTGAGTAGTTGACAGAGCAGCAGAATTTCAACTCCAATAGACCTGAATGTGTTTCTGGGCAAAGAAGCAGAGCTAACGAGGAAAGAGATTCAAAGAGTATTGGGCGTTTGTGAAACTTATTTCCTGACTGTGTGCAAAGACAGGATTCAGCTTCAATTTTCTGCCAAGGCTCTGGGTCCAGCCACCTACCTGAAGGTAAATTTTAATAAGTTTACTGTATTTGTTAACCTGATTTGCATGATCTGATAAAGATGTCTAATATTTTTGCCTAATACAAAGCCATTTTTTAACAACAAGAACAAAAGAACCCTTTTGCATGATTTACAGAAAAGCTACTTACTAGGGAATTTTAACACTTGAATTCATGTTTCCTTTTCTTCTCCAAGATTAAATAGTAAGAACTAATAAATGATGTTTAGAAATGCAGAAATGTTGTTGGCCAGACTAGCATTCAGATCTTGGTGAAGTCTGAAATCCTGAAATGTGTTTTACAGAAATAGTTTACTAAATGTATTAAATAAATCAAAAGGAAAGTAGCTGTTAAAAAAAAACACAAACTTTCAAATCAAAGTAATTTGGGTGTTTTCCATGTTTAAATTATCTGAAGTTATTCAGTCACCACCACTGTCCCAGTCTGTACCTAACAGCAATGTAGAAATGGAACATTTTGCTTTTCCAAAAGGTAAGAAAATCCCTATAATACTATATTTTCCTTTGATTATTTTTTAGTTATTGTGATTATTTTTTCCTGACTCCCTTTTATAGTTTTCTGACTCACTGTCTCTTGTCATCTTCTATCATTTTTTAGGATACACACACACACACACACACACACACACACACACACACACACATATACATAAAATTTCTAATTCCTAACGATGTCTAATTTAGCAAGGGAAAAATGAGGGAGGGGAATCAAAGAGCTAAAAAATTATGATAACTCCTATATTGTAAGGTACCTTCATTTCTGGCTCTATCTTCTAAAATAAAACAATAATGCAAGTCACGCTCCCTCATTCCTCCTGGGTATTAGAGGTCACCTTGCAGGAGAAAACCATGTTTTCAACTGCAGATCAATGCTGTTGATACTATAACCAAGAGGTAGTGCAGAGAGAGTATCTCTTTTGAACTGCCTTTAATCTGCACAGAGGTTAAATATGTCACCTTGGCATTATATCTGAGCTCCCCTCTGGCCCAGGGCCTAAGTACACTGAATAGAAATGTTCACTTGGTCCAACTCAGCAGAAATCCTTTTTTTTTTGATTCTCCCCTTTCTCATGGATACCAGTTTTTTTCAATTCACAGCTTATTCAGCTAAACGTTGATGGGTACATTAACTATGAATATTAAAAAAAAAAAAAGGACACCCCTCTCAGGAAACATTTAAGTTTATATTTCTATCCATTTAACAAGATCCAACAAAGCACAGCAGTCTGTTTCATCTGCTTATCATCCAATCAAACAATGCTGCTTTCCACATTTTGGAAAAGAATATGTACACGTTATTAATGAATCTTGCCTTTTTTCTTTCAGGGAATCTTTGTACAGCCATTTAGCAATTTGAGTACTGGGGTTTCCTTCCAGGTCCTTTGGTATTTAATCCCCAATAGGCTCTTATGCACAGTTTCACTTATCAACTAAGTAAAAATAATAAATAGGGAGGACGGAAATGAAATAAATAGTGATATATCTGGACAACTCCAAAATATTCTTCATTTCATTTCCTCTTGACAGCTTATTATTTTTAGTCAGTTGATATGTAACGGTACACAAGCATTGCTATTTCAGCTAAGTTTAGCACAAGGTCCAGAACATGTTGGGAATCTTTTTCCACCAAGAACATAAGCGACTGTTTTTCAGACTTCAGATGCCCTTTTCCCTCACATATCATTCTGGAACACCCTTCAGTGAAGGAGAAGGGGGGCCCAGAAATCCAGGAGAACTTCCCCAGTAGGTCTGGCTGCCCAAGAGATGCCCAATTAGGCCAGGGTCTGGTTCAAACAGGGCCCACAGAGCATCTTCCCCCAAAGCCTGGGCTTGCACAGGTAGTACCACCTGAGGCTAGCCTGATTTTTATCTTGGGCATCGAAAGATGATCAGAGGGCTTTCCTGGTGGCGCAGTGGTTGAGAGTCCATCTGCCGATGCAGGGGACACGGGTTCGTGCCCCGGTCCGGGAAGACCCCACATGCCGCGGAGCGGCTGGGCCCGTGAGCCATGGCCGCTGAGACTGCGCGTCCAGAGCCTGTGCGCGGCAACGGGCGAGGCCACAGCGGTGAGAGGCCCGCGGACCGTAAAATTAATTAATTAATTAATTAAAAAGATGATCAGAAGTTTGGGGAACAGAGTGTGTGGTCTCGACTGATCGTAAGGAGATGGTGTAATAAAGTGAATAAGATCATGGGCTCTAGAAACGTACAGATCTGGTTTATACCTGGGCTTTCCCAGGGTCTGTGACTTTGCACAGATGACACTTTGAACCTCCGTGCCCTCATTTGCCAAAATGGGGATCATAAAACTAGTTACTACCTTGGAGATTTGTTGTGATAAACGAGGAAAACAGCTATGTCTGGTACGTTTGAATCAATCTATCGATCATAGCTGATATTAAAGCACTAGTCTACCTATATGTCCCGAATGGAACTCTGTAGAAAGGGAATTTACTCTAAGATTTCCCTCAGGGTTTCTTCCTTGTACTTACACACTTTGCTGTATAATAAAATGTCAATGCCAGGTCTATGCCTCAGAGTCAGCCCGACAGAGCAGATAGAGCATGGGTTTCAGCGTCTAACACGCCTCAGTTTGAATCCTGGCTCTGCCTCTTTGTGAGCTTGGGCAGTCACTTCACACCTCCAGGACTCAGTTTACCCATCTATTAAGCAAATAGTGATAATAATACCCACAATGGGGTCATTGTAGGAATTAAATAAGATGCTTTTTAAATGTCAGGTATAGCACCTGGCAGAGTACTAGACACACAGTGAGGAAGTGTTTGATTACACACTTGGAATAATTTTTCTACACACAGTGAGGAAGTGTTTGATTACACACTTGGAATAATTTTTCTGGCAGTAATAGTGGGGGTCAAAAAGGAAATATTCATTGAATTGTCTTTTTTTTATCTAAAGAAATGGAAAAATAAATCTGACACTACCGTATGCCCTTGAGAGGGCCTCAGCCTGAAGTATTTATTACTGAGTCCTTACTGCTTCATCCATTAGTAGCTTCTTAATGGCCAAGTCAAACGAAACCACAGTGAGTCTTCTGTTTCAGATCGCCATTAAGAGGAATGAGGCGAAATGATGCTTTGCCCTCAACTCTGTTTTATTGGCCTACCTGGAGGGGGGAAAAGGCCCGAACATTTCTCCTTTCTTATCTTTTCTAAAGGCAGGAATAGGGGTTTTGACTTGCTCTAGGGGGTATCTTTTTCCTCTCTAACTGAAATTCAAACAAAAGGGTTTGTTTTTTGTTTTTCTGTTTTTGTAAACCTCTCCTCTATGTTCCTAGAATTGAAATGTCAGCTGCTTTTTCTGTAGCAGGAGCAGCCTGTAGTCATAGCAATGAAAGGGGACAGAGAGGCTCGAGTTTCACAGCCCTCTCTGTGAAATAACTCTTAGTCTGCTTTAAAAATCCTTGAGAAATGAAGTCCCCCATCCTGGCTTGTTTCCTTCCTATTATGCAACCAACTTATGTACGCCAAACATTTCCTTTAAAGAGTCAGTGAATTGGTGTTAAGAAAATGAACAAGAAAGCTACGACACGGTGCCCAGTTTACTGTCGAGTGCAGGGAAAAGCAACCGGGAAGGCAGAGGAGGAGAAAGAGACAGGACCTCACTTTGTAGGACAGGCTGGGCCCCACACTAAAGCCATTTCCCGAGTCCCCGCTACCGCCTCCCACCTTCACGATGTGCTTATCCAGGTGATTATCAATCAAGGGGACTCAGGGGCAGGCTGCCTGGACTGGAATCCTGGCACTTACACTCTCTAGTTTTTTATCTTATCCACTCTTTGCCTCATCTTCTCATATGTAAAAGAGAGATAATAATGGTCATAAAATTGTCATGGGAATTGAATGAGATACTCTATGTAAGGCTCTTATTACAGGATCTGACCAGTGGTAAAGGTTGGCCGTGAAGTTCACCAAACCTCAGTTTCCCCTACTTCTTCAACGGGGATAACAGCTAATTCATAAGACTGTTGTAGGATTAACTGAAACAATGGATGGAAGTGCTCAAGAAGTAGTCGTTCTTTTAATACTTTTCTCATTTGGTCTAACTCTGATAAGAATGGCTTTTTTTGAACTTGGAATCTCCCAGTGAGGAAACTGCAATGAAAACAGGCCTCAGAATTATCCTTGTATAAACAGGAACCATTGAATTTCTTAAAAGGATAAAAGGGAATAATTAAGGATTTTTACATTTATAAGGAGTAAAAGAGATTCTTCTCATCTTGATTAACACTAGGGCAAAATGTATCAAAACGTCTTATCTTTCATTAAAATACTTTTTATTAAAATTTCTGTTTTAGTTTCTCCAGTGTTTTCCAGGTCATGAAATAAGTAATATTTTTATCTTATGTCTCAAACAACTAATGTACTCAGTTCTATTCTGTGTGAAATGCCAGGGATGCTACAGGAACAAACAGAGAATGGCTGTGCTCTTGTGGTACTTACTGTGTAGTTAGGGAGACAGTTGTTAATCAAATTATCACATTAATAAAAACTGCATTCGTGAAAAAGAAAATATATGTGTGTGTGAGTGTGTGTGTGTGTGTGTGTATAACTGAGTCACTTTGCTGTCCAGCAGAAATTAACACAAGATCGTAAATCAACTATACTTTGATAATTTTTTCTCAAAAGTACATTTGCCCAAACATAAGGTGACCTCAAATACAAAGCCACCTTCATTTTTCTAATAAAAAGGTCCTCAGGCAAAATCTTTGGCCAACCTAAATACACACACGGATGGATAATATTGGAAGGTATGCTTAGGACGCTTACTCTATTGTTACAAATACATTATTTTAAATCTCATTTCATTTAAAATATTTTATACTTATAAAAATGACTTTTTTATTCTCATATTTCATGAAATGATTTTGTTAACACTCTCTCTATGCCTCTTTAACAACACTGTCTGTGTTCACTGGAGCCACTCTGTAACTGTCTAACAGAGAGTAGTGCATCATCAATCCT